TCATCAGCCCACGTCTCGCCCCTAGTCAGACACCGCTACGTCACGTAACGGCAACAAAAACATGAACAAACACTGAACGATTGTCTTTTTATTAACTAACATTAACACAGATTAATAAATGTATTGTTCCATGTTCGTTTGTATACCACGCGCAAGGTTTATGCGCATAGTCCAAGTCTTCTTCTCCGTTTTTAGTGTGTCTCTGTGGCAGAATTACAGCACCACATGCTGGTCTGGCATGTATACTACATCGTTTTGTGTCAGTTCCGTGGTTTCGTGTGGACGCAAATATTTCTTGAGACGAGGGGAAAAAAAGATTGGATAGGGAAAGCTCTGGATTCGTGTGGACGTAGCCTTAAAAATGTTGACTCTTTCCTTCAGTGATTCTGCTTGTTAACATCAGGTGTCTTCACTAATGGTCAATCAACATTCAATTAATCACTTAATTACCTTATTAACTTTAACTCTGCTTCAGTGTTAATTTTAACACTCTTGAATGTGGACTCAAACTCTGAGGTGAGTTCATTTAACACTGGGGTTTTTGTGGCGTACAAACAGAGACCTTTGGTAATTCTCTGTTGACATTCTGTACAAGTGGGATGGTAGGAATCGATCTGCATGTGTTCTGGTGCTGGAGGTGAGGCAGAAGTTGTAGCAGGCAGAGGAGATGCAGCAGGTAGGTCCACATTGCAGGCTGTGAGGCACTGGGAGATGCGGATGGCTTTCTGGATGAAATTTTCCAACCCCTTGACATCATCATAAATGATAATATGTTGACGGAGGGTAACATTGCCCAGGTGAAAAAATGTGCACTTCCACTGATTTTGTACTTAATATACTAAAATTATTTGGTTACACTTTATTTTAAGGTGTCCTTGTTACAGTGTAATTATACATTTAAGTACTGATATTAATTAACTACTTGTACTAACTATATGTTTAGGGTTAGGATTAGTGTTTGGCATAGGGTTACTTGCATGTAATTATGCATAATTTATTGTTATTATAATAGTAACTACATGTAACGTGTGACTGTGACACCTTAAAATAAAGTGTTACCAAATATTCTTTATTAATTAATTGTATTTTGTACCAGCCGTTAACAATCTACGTGACTCCGCCAATGTGGATTTTTATTTATTTTTTTATTTTTTTCTGTGACTAAGCGACTAATACAATTTTGGTCGACCAAGCCTCTTCTGGTCAACGATTAGTCGTCTATTAGGGGGCAGCCCTAATGGATGGCTTGTAGGAGAGAGGAAAATTCAATTCAATTCAAGTTTATTTGTATAGCGCTTTTTACGATACAAGTCGTTGCAAAGCAACTTTACAGTAAATTAATTTTCTACAATATTTAGTGGTAGCTTATCAGTGGCGACTGTCAGTTAATGTACATATGGCAGAAATGTATGGAAAAATCAATTAAAGACGTAATCAAACAGACGATGAACACTATTAACAGCAATTATTATATGATGCAATCAAACTT